AGAAGGCAAGAGTCTCTTAACCCACCTACGCCTAGAGGGCAGGCGGGATTCTACGGAAGAGGATGAGGAGGATCAGGAGGAGGAGGAGGAGGAGGAAGAGGCGGAGGCGGAGGCAGAGGCGGCGGAGGCGGAGGTGGAGGTGGAGGCGGAGGCGGAGGCGCAGGCGGAGGCGCAGGCGGAGGCGCGGAGGCGGAATGAGGGAGGCAGGGAGGGAGGGATGGATGAGGAGATGGAGGAGGAGGCGGAGGAGGAGAAGTATATGGATGATACTGATGATGATGATGATGATGATGATGATGATGATGATGATGATGATGATGATGATGATGGTGGTGGTGAGGATGATGATGATGATGATGATGATGATGATGATGATGATGATGATGGTGACGACGATGATGAGGAGGAGGATGACGAGGATGAGGAAGATGATGCTGATGCTATTGATGATCATGATGCTGATGATGACACTGATGATGATGCTGATGATGCTGATGCTGATGGTGGATATGATGCCGATACTGCTGGTGATGATGCTGATGATGACGATGATGCTGACGATAATGCTGACGATGATGACGATGATGCTGATGATGATGATGATGAGTCTGATGATGCTGCTGAAGGTGGCGATGCTGATGACGACGATGACGATGCTGATGATGAGTATGCTGGTGCTACCGCTGCTGATGATGAGGCCGATGATGCTGACGATGATGATGATGATGCAGCTGCTGACGCTGATTATGATGACGCTGAGGATGAAGCTGATCAGATAATGACGATGACGACGATGCTGATGATGCTGACGATGATGATGGCGATGATGCTGCTGCTTGTGATGGCGATGCTGCTGCTGATGACCATGATTATGCTGCTGCTGCTGCTGATGATGATGATGATGAGGATACTGATGATGATGATGATGATGATGATGATGGTGATGATGATGATGATGCTAGCGATGCTGGTGCTGCTGATGCTGACGATGATGATGATGATGATGATGATGTTGATGTTGACGCCGCTGCTGATGAGTATGCTGATGGTGCTAATGTTGATGATGATGTTGACGACGATGATGCTGCTGATGATGATGATGATGCTGTTGCTGATGATGCTGATGATGATGCTGACGACGATGCTGATGATGCTGATGCTGGTGATGATGATGCTGATGCTGATGTGGATGCTGATGCTGATGCTGCTGATGATGATACTGACGATGATTATGCTGGTGCTGTTGCTGATGATGGTGTCGATGATGCTGATGCTGATGATGATGCTGATGATGATGATGATGATGATGATGATGATGCTGATGATGATGATGATGATGATTATTGATGGTGATGGTGGTGTTGATGATGGGTGATGTTGATGATGGTGTCATGCTGATGTCATGATGATGATGACGCTTATGATGATGACGACGATGCTGATGATGATGATGCTGATGATGATGCTGATGATGATGACGATGATGCTGATAATGATAATGATGGCGCTGCTGATGCTGCTGATGATGCTGTTGATGATGATAATGACGATGCTGCTGCTGATGACGCTGATGGAGCTGCTGCTGCTGATGATGCTGATGATGGTGATGATGCTGATGATGATGATGATGATGATGATGATGATGATGATGATGATGATGATGATGATGATGATGATGATGGTGGTGATGATGCTGCTGCTGCTGCTGCTGCTGATGATGATGATGATGATGATGATGATGATGATGAGAATGATGATGAGGATGAGGATGAGGATAATGATGAGGATAATGAGGAGGAGGATGCGGAGGAGGAGGGGGCGGAGGTGGCGAAGGGTGATGATGAGGAGGAGGAGGAGCAGAAGCAGGAGGAGGAGGAGGACGAGGCCGATGAGGAGGAAGAGGCTGAGGAGGAGGAGGAGGAGGAGAAGGAGGAGGAGCAGCTGAATAAGGAGGTGCAGGAATCGCAGGAGGCGGAGGAGGCGAACGAGGAGGAGGAGGAAGAGGAAGAGGAGGAGGAGGAGGAGGAGGAGGAGGAGGAGGAGGAGGAGGAGGAGGAAAAGGACAAGGAGGGGGAGGAGGAGCCGGAGGAGGACGAGGAGGAGAGGAGGAGGAGGAGGAGGAGGAGGAGGTTGAGGAGGAGGAACAGGGACGAAAAGGAGGAGGAGGAGGAGGAGGAGGAGGAGGAATAGGACGAAAGGGAGGAGGAATGCGGAGGAGGAGGAGGAGGAGGAGGAGGAGGAGGGGAGGAGGAGGAGGAGGAGGAGGAGGAGGGGGAGGGGGAGGGGAGGGGAGGAGGAGGCGGGGGAGGAAGAGGAGGAGTAAAAGGAGGCGGAGGAGTCGAACGAGGCGAATCAGGAGGAGAAGGAGGAGGAGGAGGAGGAGGCGCAGAAGGCGCAGGAGGCGCAGGAGGCGGAGGAGGCGATCTTGGAGGAGGAGGTGGAGGAGGAGGCGGAGGAGGAGGAGGAGGAGGAGGAAGAGGAGGAGTAAAAGGAGGACGAGGAGGAGGAATCAGGAGGCGGAGGAGGAGGAACAGGACGAGAAGGAAGAGTCGGAGGAGGAGGGGGAGGAGGAGGCGGAGGAGGAAGAGAAGACGAGGAGGCGCAGGAGGCGGAGGAGGCGGAGGAAGCGGACGAGGAGGAGGAGGAGAGGGGAAGGAGGAGGAGGAGGAGGAGGAGGAGGAGGAGGAGGAGGAGGAGGAGTCCGTAGCCATCTTGGCTCACAGGTAACCGTCATGAAGGGCAATCGACGCCTTAGAACCAGCGATTACCTTTGAGGTATCCGTCGCTGGGCCCAGGCAATTCGGGTGCGCGCCCTTCCCGCATCCTTTTTTGGCCACCTTCGCAGGATCTGTCGTCACCATGCGGGCGCTTGCAACGCAAGCGGGAGATGCTCGGCAATGGTTCTGTGCAGGTGTCTACTCCTCATGGTGCAGCTGTTTGCGTGGATGCTTGGCTTCTGGCGGCATGGGAGGCCGCACCCACGTTCCCCAACAGCCAGAGCCAGGAGATCGTCTCTCTTTCTGATTCTCCTCGCCGTGAAGGTGGAGGCGCTGACGATCCCAAGCGTCGCAAACAGACTGATGCCGCCGACCTGCGCTGCGACTTCGACTCTCTCAAGGGACACGTCGTCAACAGCATGCCCAACATTCTCGAATCAGTGGGCAGGGTCTTCGGGAGCGTCACCTCAGCCATGGCCAACTTGCAGCGCACCGTCAATGGCTCGTACAAGACGCTGCACTCGCAGAAGGAGCTGCGGGTTTCGAACGTCGAGGGTGCCCAGCGCTTGCACGAGGCACGGCTCTCTGAGACTGAGCGCCAATTCCATGCTCTTCATCAGGAAGTCCAGAAAAGGACTCTTGCTGGCCCGCAAGGAGCAGCCCCTCGTCGAGCAGTTCATTCCTGGTGGCTCCCTCGATCGTGAGATCGATGCTGCTGGTCACAGCTACTGCAGTTGCCGATGGGCTCCGCTCGTGGCTCGAGGACTACAACGTCACTGCAGACGGTTGGCTTGTTGAAGGCGAGCCGGCAAGCAAGAAGGACACTATCAGGTTAATGGGAGCTGCTGGACTGTTATCAAGACGGGTTTCGCAAGCTCTGGGGGGTCTTCGTACCAGGCGCACAGACCGATCTCCGAGCTCGACGTGGCGGAGGTTCCACACGACGGCGACGACCAACGAGGAGACTGGGCTGTTCGTGGGTCCCGACAATAACGCTGCCACCATCAAGAGAGAGAGGCGACGTGCAATAACATCAGACGGGCTCTCGAGGCCCACTTTCCCGACCGTAAGTTTTGCATTGGCCTGTGCAAAGGGGAGATCAGTGCGAACTGGCGCCCGCTTATCATCAAAGTCACGCCGCTCGTCAACTCGGAGGAGCCGCACTTGAAGTGCGCTGCTGCGAACTTCGTCTAGGAGGGCGTTGACCAGCAGGAGATGTCCCAGCTCGTGCGCCGTGCCGTGCGGGGGGCCTATTGCGTGGAGCTCCTAGCAGCTTCTGCGCCCTGTGGCATGGACCATCCTCTCCCCGTCTGTTTCCTCTTCCTCTCGCATCGTCAATTGGAATGCGAATGGCCTTTTCCACCACTCGGATGCGAATATCCTTCTCCGCCACTCTGCAGCTCTCCGCGCTCGGAAGATGAGATTTCTTCGGCGCTTGCAAGAGCAGGGCAGCATCGCTGCTTTGCAAGAAGTGCACGGAGTGGAGCCAGATTTGAATGATCACCTCCACCACCTGCATCTCCCTTTTCGAGCCTCTTTCTTTTTTCTCCCCAGCCTTCTCTTTTTCCCCCTTTCGCCTCTCCTCCGGTTCTCGCCATCCCAAGAAAGACGCGCGCGTTTCGGCATTGAGCGTCTTCTTATCTCATCCTTCCCACTGGTTCCCGGGTGGGCGTTTCTTGCGAAGTTCAGTTTGCGCGATGTCGCCTTCAATGTCCACAGTTTTGGGCTTGGCAGAGAGCAGCGTCGGGGCCTTCTGGGCTCCGTCAAGGCGGTTGTAGAAGTTGCCGGTGACGACCCCGCCAACCACCGCGCGCTCATCTCTGGGAACCCACCTGAACACGCCCGCCTACTTTAAACCCTCCGCGGGAATCCTTTCGTTCATTGACAGGGCGGTCGCTTCGTAGCCTGGTTGGATTCTCTCCCAAGTCGCGTCGGGGGGCGAGGTGACGGACCAGCCCGAACTCCTAGCGGCGGAGCGCATCTCTGATCATGCCGCCGCGGGCGCGGCACTTCGAGCGCGGGCTGACTTGCCAATCCATCAGCACCCTGCGCCGCGAGAAGTGTTCGAGTCTGCCGGATTCCAGCGATGCATGCAGCTGGCGCTTGATGCTGCAGAGTGCCAGCCTCTCTCTCTATGTATATATTTATTTATCATGTTTTGTATTCTCTCTCTCTCTCTCTATCTTTTTCTCCATGTCCCCCCTCCCCTCCGCTTTGATTGCTTCAAGATGACGACGTTGGGAAGTGCTAGGCATGCTCGAAAGGCGGGTGTCCTGCGGAGTCCGGATCCCCCATTCGCTCGCTATCTCATGGTGCGCGGCGTGGCCCGTGCGGTCATCCGTCAGCAGTGGCAGTTCGCTTTGAAGCTCTACCGTTCTCATCCTCTTTGTCGTGAACACCTCCTCAACGATGATGCGAAGTCCATCGCCCCCATCGCGCCCTCGTCCTTCGCGCTCCTCTCCGATTCCCTTCATTGAGAGCTTGCCCGCCATGCTTGAGTGGGCTTTTCGTCCTGCGCCCGGCAGCTCGCTGACCCTCGCAAGCTGGATCGGAGTCGCAAGCGTCAACGACGGGCCCAGAAGATGACGCAGCTTTGGTCGCCCTTTGATCGCCGCGCCGCGCTCGCTGGCATTCGCGCGCCCGATCGTGGAGTCGCGCAGACTCCACCGCGGATCCCTGCTGCTCTGGCCACCCGCTGGGGCCCTGTGTCCACGGCAAAACCGTATGACTTTGACGTTGGCGAGGTATGTCGATGCGTTCCAGGCCCGACCCGATTGCTCTCATCCCCCCCCGCGCTTGAGCCGCTCATTCTCAGGAGTTGGCGAAACGACTTCAACGCAGTGCCCCAGGCCCAGATGGGATCCCGCATGCTGCGTGGCAGCGCGCTCATGGAGGACTTGACCTCCCGTGGGAGTGTATGCGCTGGCAGCTCGACGGCTGGCGCGTGCTTCCTAACTATAATGTGGTTTTGGGAGCGTTCACCCCGACGGGGGAAGAGGACGCGGACTCCTCTGCGGGCGTTTTTCGGGCTGCGGCTGCCTCTGACACCGGGCCCTTTGGATATAAATCGTGTGCTAACACGATTATCACTGCCGTGACGATCAAAGCTTTAACCGAAGCCTTCCCTGCCAGTTTGGCAGAGCCCCAGCGGGGCATTACCCCCCCTGGATGCTTCGGGGGCAATATCGTGGAGCTGGACGCCCTCGCCAGACAGACTAGCATGGAGTCTGGCGTCGAGCGTCGCCGCCCTGCCCTGGTGAGTTCTGACTTTCGGCCAAGCGTTCTGTCTATGTGCTAGCGCTAGGTGCTCCAGACCCTGGGGCGCGCGAAAGCCCCCCCCTCCCCTGTGGCCGTGGTTGAGCTGCTCAACTGGAATGTTGCATGCGTCGGATGTCTTGAGGGTGACATGCAGCGCTGGTGCTGGCTCTCGAGCGGGGTCATCCAGGGCTGTCCTGCCAGTGACGCGCTTTTTGCCGTGGGTGCTGACCCATTCATGGTCAAATTTCAGGGGGCCATCGGGCGTTCGCTTCGGGGAGTTGCCCGAGCATGTGCTGACGACGTCGATCTCGTCATCTTTCGCCTGGCCGGCCTGCGCTTTGCCTGGCTCGTCTTTGAAGATGGGGCTACCCTTGCGCGCCTCGTCCTGAAGCGCAGGAAGTGCAAGATAGCCCCCTTGCTCGATGAGTTCTCGGAGGCTCGCGCAGGGTTGCGCAGAGTGAAGCTCCGCAGGTTCGCCCCCCCCCCCCCCCCAGTGGGCCGACTTCGCGATTGCGGAGTCCGTTTTATATTTCGGAGTTTGGCCTGGCCCAGCGGTTCTTCCCACTGCCTCTCGGGAAAAGCCGTTCAATGAGTTCCTCGCGGGGGCCCAGGGGCATTCGAGCCAGGGTCCCCCCCCGTCGCTCGCCGCGGTGCTTTGCGATTCCAGGGTGCTTTTCGTTTTGTCTTACGTGGGCCACTTCCAACCCCTCCCAGCTTCCCCCATGACAAAAAATCACAATCCTCGTGGGCCTTTTTCGACCTCACCCACTGTGGGCTTCCTCGTGGGTCCTGGTGTAGCTTGGGAAACTGGGGTGGGCCGCAGATTAAGATCATGCAAATGCGCTCAATTGCTCAACTTTCTCATGCCAGCACAATCACGTTCACGTCCTTGGAGATTGCTTACCGTAGTGCGTACGAGACCGCAGAAATGCACCTCTCCGTGGCCGGGGCTGTCTCGGGTACTCCATGGCCGAGTTTTTGGGAAGCCTGCCTTCGCCGCACACCTCTGCGATGCTGCCGCTGGGTTTGAGAAGTGCCCTAAGCTTCGGGAGGCGGATGGCCGTGCAGTTGTGAATCTTGATGTTTATCTCTTTTCTCATCCCCGCAAACCTGTCAGAGTTCTTCATCCTCAGCGTCTTTTCCTGCGCCATCTTTCGGCTTCCATCTCCCCCGAAGCTCAGCAGACTTTGTTCGCAAGGCGCCTCTTCGAGTGGTTCCCGCAAGCCCGTGAAGACATCGCTCGGATCGGCTGGGCGGATGCGAGAGCGCAGACCTTGTCCTTCCCCCTTCCTGGAGGCCAGCTCTGCTCAAATCGTGGTGCGGCGGGTGGATCACACCAGCGGCCTTTCAAGAGGAAGGGTCTCGTTGCTATTTCGGCTGTGCGTCTGCGTGTAACTTTAGGCACTTGTGGGTCTGTCCCCACTTCGTCCGCCTTGTGACTTGTCTTTCTAGCTCTTCCCCCGCCCGCTGCCCTGTTGGTCGTCTCGGTCATATCTCGCTTTCTCGCGTTTCTCTTCTCCCCACTATCTTTGCGTTCTATCTTCACCGTGGGTGCAGTCGGCACCCGTCGCCGATGGAACCAGATCTCGAGCGAGCCATCTGCAGGTGTGTGCGTGCGCAGGTGGCAAGGCCTACCGCGCGCCAGAAAGGTGGGTGACCGACGACTCCGCTCGAGGAGGGGGAGGAGGAGGACGAGGACGAGGAGGAGGACGAAGAGGAGGAGGACGAGGAGGACGAGGAGGAACGGGGCATCTCCGCCTCCCCGCCGCAGATCGCCCGAAACCACTGCGTTTCCGCTCTCGCGCGGCAAGCAGGCCTTTGAGGCCCGGCGCCTCCAGCGCCCGCCTCCGGGTGCCGCTGTTCGAGCAGGGGATCGACGGCTAATCCACCCCGGAGTTGACATGCTCGTCAATCCGACGGAGAGAATCCGTAGAACACGTTCGTATATCTACGAAACAAATATGTATTTCCCGTTGGTTCGACGAGATATTCAAGCCTGGGGGCGAATCAGTTCTGCAGTCGATCTCCAACTCGAGTGCTCGGGTCGGATGAGTGACCCTTTGCCAGACTGACCCCTGGTGCGGGCCTAGGCGCTGAACGCGGAACAGTAATAGCGGCTTCCGCGCCCATGTTTGGCCACCCCGTGCCCCCAGTCAGGCCGCGCACCAGAGGCCACTTGCGTGCAGCCGAAGGTCGGACGAAAAGGGGGGTTTCCAGGTTCGAGGGTTTCGGACGTTTGCGTCGGTTGGCGTCGTTTTGGCAGACTCGGGTTGCTCCCCAGCAACGGCGCCTCGCCGAGGTCGTTCTGGGAGCGTCGAGATCGTCCCGAACCGCCGCCTGCGGCCAGAGTTTTGCCCGACAGCCAGACGGACGACACGGATCGAGTCGGACTTGCGGGGATGTAGGAGGGGGGGGGACTGCACATGGGGAATGAGTCTCGAGGTTCGAGGCTCTAGGGTTCCAGAAACTTTTGTCGGTCGTCGGCGATATCCCACGCCGCACCGCCGCTGCGGCGCGATCCGCATCGTCCCGCCCTCCTCTCCCTCCAATCTGGGACGACGAGCTCTATGCATATGCACTGCTCCTCGCCAGGCCCATCCTGGGCCCAGGAGCTGTGTATGTGCCTCCTTGGCCAAGCCAGGAAGGCGTATACACAGCTCCTGGGCCCAGGATGGGCCTGGCCAGGAGCAGTTGATATGCATAGATCTCGTCGCCCTCCAGGCGTCGCCGCTGCACCGCCGATGCACTGCCGATGCGCCCTCGTGGAGGGGCAGCGCGGCCTCTGGGCGGCCTGGAGCCGCGGCGGGCACACGACGGGCTTTCTGTCGGCCGCGCGAAGACGGGGGGGGAAGGAGAAGCGACACCAACACCACCAGGAGGCCACCTCCAGCGAGGAGGTCCACGATGCCTCGCCGAGCCGGGGATAGGAGATGTCCCGAGCGGGGGCCACACCACTAGGTGACCCTTCCCTGGCTCCTCCCGCTGGCGGTCCCTGGTGGTGTTGGTGTCGGTTCTCCATGTTCTTCAAGAGGGGGGTAGGTTGGAGAGGGGAAGGCTTTCTAGAATCGGGAAATCGTAAGATTCGAGTTCGTTGGAGCTCGGTCAGGATGCCGTTTTTGGAGGAGCCCGTCCTGGGTTTTTGACGTCGTGAGTTTTTGCGGGATGTTTGCAGCGGGAGCTCGCGTCAAATTTCAGATTGGGTCTCGTCATTTTCCTGACGGCCCTGTCAGGCCAACCCGAGTCTCCCAACCCCGAGTCTCCCCGATAAGCACACCCGTGCTTCTCAGAATGTGCGGGCCATGTCTGAAGATTTAAGGCTAGCGCCTTCTAAGAAGCAGCCGCCTTCGAAGAAGCCTTCCCTTGTTCCCCTGCCCCCTCGTGCTCGCCGCCAACCTCATGCGCCGCGTCGGGCACGACAGGGCCCTCGCAGACGGGAGCGGCTCGAGACTGCGTCCGCAGCGCCGTGCTTCTGCGTCGCGTCGGCTGCAGTGCTTGCGCGGCGGCCAGGCTGGCATCTGCCCTGGCCGCCAGGATATTCTTGAACGACTCGTGGGCTTGTCTCGGAGCCGCCCGGAGCTGGACAGCACGTGCGCAGACGAGTCGCACTCCTACTTGTCACGTTATGAGCGTCTCGGGGGCGCTCAGTGCTTTTCATGGCCGTCTTGGAAGGCATGCCGAGGAAGGAGACCAGGGGTCGGCGGCCAGCCCGGGGGTGAAGTGAGACGGGGCGAGCCTTCTCAGAAGGCTCGGACGTCCTCCAGCCTTACGAGGAGTTTTCTAAATCTTCCCCGAAGACAGAACTTCTCAGACGGCCGGAGGGCTTCTGAGAAGCCCCGCTGCATTCTGGGAGAGCCTTATCCATACCATTTCCCTCGCTCGCCGCCGAAGGGGGATACCAGGGGGATGCTTGGAAGTTCTGCCATGGGGTGGGGGTCACGGTCGGTCTCATCATCGGACGGTCGGAGTAGTCTCTGAGGGGACCGTATTGGTCGGAAGGTGCGAAATTTGCTTGCGAGCAGGTGCCTCATTTTTGGTACGCGACGATGGCCCCAGGGACCCACAGAGGGCTCAGGACACGGCGTGAAGTTGTCAAACCGACGACAATTGTGCACTTTGACTGCCTATGGCAAGAAGTACTTTCGGGGGGGAGGGAGGGAGGGATGGCCTGTCTCCTCCTCCTCCTCTTCCTGCTCCTCCTCCCCGTCCTCCTATTGTCCTTCTCTCCCTCCTCCCTCCTTCGTCCCTTTTTCCCATCCTCTTTAGCTATGCTCTCTGATCCCCTCTCGCCTCCCCCCTGCTTCTCCTGCTGCTGCGTGGCTCCCTGTGCTGCTCCGGAGCCCCCAGGTTCCCTTTACATTCCTCCCCTTGTCGTCGTCCGCCCCCGGCCTCTGCGCTCTCCTCGTCCCGCGCCCCGCACGCTCGTCGTTCTGATCCTTGTCTTGTCCTCGCGCATGCGAGACGGCGGCGTAGGAGGATCGAGAGGAGGAGTTGGAGCTGGGGGAGGAGGAGGAGGAGGAGGAGGAGGAGGAGGAGGAGGAGGAGGAGGAACGGAACGGAACGGAACGACAAGGAGCAGGAGGACTCGCAGAAAGAGGTTGCGAATGAGGGCGGGGAGGAGGAGGAATAGTGACATAGTGCTGCAATCGCACGCTCCGTCCTGGAACCCTCACCAATGCCAGGATGCAGAACAGGCTGTATCTGGCATTTGCCCTACCACTCGGCCAAAAAGCAACCTCGGGCTGCCTGCAGCGGCCCAGCTGCACAACGAAGTGTTCCGCCGACACCGCCCAGAGCATGGATGAGAGCCTGCCCCGTCCCAGGACAGAAGCGGATCACTTCCGGTTACCCTGCTCGACGCCGCCGAATTTTCCGGTAGTGTCAAGGGCAACGTTTCGGGGGGACATGCTCAGGGGGCGTAGGGGGGATGGTTCAGGCTTTCGAGGCTCGAGAGTTTCGGACGTTCTCGTCGCTTCTCGGCGGTCGTCCAGCCTCGGGTCGGGATGCCTTCGGCGGCTGCGCATTGCCGAGGGCGTTCCAGGTGTGCCCGGATCGTCCTGAACGGCCATGGGGTAATGCTCGGGGAGGTAGGCTCAGGGGGGAGTGCATCGAATCCCAATCACTCACTGATCGCCGCTAGGGGCCCGATTGTCCACCCCGCCCAGGACCGTGGGGATCTGCTGTCGGGGGCCTACGGCCGAGCTAATGCATCGGACATGCATCGCCGATGCCAGCTCGAGGTTTTCTCCCCTGAGTTGATCCTCCTGTGACATTCCCCCTCATGTGATGGGCGCCGTCCGCACGGGCTTGGGCGGCATGCAGCGCAACTGTGCGCGGCGTCCGTTCCAGGGCGGCCCGCCATCCTTGGGCCAGCACGTGCGCAGGCGCGCGGCCGCAGGATTGCAGAGCGCACCGCGCCGCAACCGAGTACGCAGGCCACCTCACCGTCGAGGCCTGGCGAGAGCCCCCTCGAGACGCCGAGCGCGACCCATGTGCTCATCGTGGGCTCTCGCGAGGGCGCGAGGCGATTCGCGCTTCGCTCATCCTCCTCATCCCTCGTCCTCCTCGTAATTACCTCGTCCTCCTCGTGCCTTGTCCTCCTCTTGCTCCAGGGTGGGCGGCGCGACAGCGCGACGTCATGCGCGCTTCGCGACTCGCGCGGCGCAAAGCGCGAACATCGGAGCCTTTGGCTCAGCCACCGTGCCGTCGTTCATGCGCACCTTCATGTCAAGCCGCCAGCACACTCATAGCGATAGCCATGCAGGCAGACCAGGCCCGCGTCCGGCCAGCACACGGTGCTGTATGAACCAAGACGGGAGGACAGCTCTGCAACAAGAAAGCGGTGAGACCCGCCAAGCCATCGTACGCCGTGCAGGGCAGCGGCGCCCCAATAAATAGCAGTGCATCACCTCCTCCTTTGCCTCCTCCTTCCGTTTCCCGAAGTTAATTAAGTACACAACGGCACTTCCCAGGTGGGCCACGGAGAGCTGCCACTATATGACATGGACCGCACCTTCGCAAATGTGTCTCGTTTAGTTGCCAGCAGGCACGCCCGCCCGTGTCAAGATGGCTCTGGCCGAGGAGGACGGCGCGCAACAGTAGTTGATCGCAGCCTGGAATCTGAGCCTGGCAGCCTGGCGTCAAGCATGAGGGTGTCCACCTTGGCAGCCGACCACGTGGCCGCCCTGGAGTCCCCCATACTCCTCGCCGCGGCGCAGAGCACGACCTCAGCACGTCCCCGCGAGCCACGATGCTGACGATGAGCCTGAGTTCATGCGCTTTGTGGGGGAGGGCGAGGAGGAGGAGGAGGAGGACGAGGAGGAGGAGGAGGAGGAGGAGGAGGAGGAGGAGGGGGAGCGGGCCTGGGATGCGGGGTGGGAACGGGAGGCCGGGCACCAGGGAGGGGCGTTAGCAGCCCAGGGAGGATGGAGCGAGTGGAGAGCCGGAAAGAGCAGGGTCGTTGAGGTCGTCGCCGCCGCCGACGCCCTCGCCGCCATCGTCGTCGCCGCCGACGCCATCGTCGTCGCCGCCACCCCCGCCGCCGCCGCCGCCGCCGTCGTCGTCGTTGTCGTCGTCGTCGACCTTCTCTCCTCTCTCTGCCGTCTCCAGCAGCTCCGTGGGCGCCGACCGTGCACCCAGACCGAGCCAGCCTGGCCAGGCGAGTCCAGGGCATAGGACTTTGGGTAGGGGCGCGCATGCACCCAGAGCATGGGCCGGGGTCGGACGGGGCCAGGACGAGGATCAATTCGCAGGCGACCGGCGACCGACCGACGGTCGGCGGCACCGTAACGGGTACTCACTATCGGGTATTTAGGGCCTTTTTCTGTCTTTGCAGCGTTGCCCACATCGTGGAGGGCTGGGCTGGCGGGCGGCGGGCGGGCGGCGGCCGCCGCCGCTCCTGCGTGCTGCCGCTGCCCTGCCGCCCAGCTGGTCTCACGATGGAACTGGGACGGGGATGAAACCGTCCCAGTGCGTACTGGAACGCTCTCAGACCGTTCTGGAGTGCTCTGAGAAGGCCGCGGCGGCCGAGACGTCCTCCAGAGCCGCCAGGTCTGAGAGATCCTCGATTTATCCTCGCCCGACTTCGGTCTCGTCCTGGCTTCGTCTCACGGGGCGCGAAAACAACCGCGCTTTGCGATCAGGGCGCCCTTTCCAGATGGCCGCACGGGGGCGCGGCTGTAATCGCGCAGCGCGCCCTGCGCGGTTCGGAGCGCGAAGTTTTGACGTATCCGTATACACGGCCTCGCGGGCCGGGTCTTTGTGCCGCGACCCTGGTCGGGAGCCTTGAGACGGGGGTCAATGCAAACGGGGATCAGCCAGAGCGCTGATCCTGCAGAAGCAGGGGTGCGCTGACCCGGGCTTGCGTGCAGGATTTTGCAGGATCTCGCAGGATCTTGCAGGATGCTGCAAGGCTTGACTGACCCCGGTTTGCATTGACATTGACCCTGGTCAGTGCGTCCCCGAGATGCGTGGCCTTTTTTCGCGGATGCCCCGCGCGGAACGTACCCATGCGAGCGCGTATCCACAGGATCGCGCCCCGGAATCGTGACCGCGAAGGCGTGGAGATGGATGTGTTTTCAAAAGAGGGGGAACCACTTGGACCCGATAATTGTCGTTTACTAGACGGCCCTGGGCGTTTATTAAACAGCCCTGCCCTGTTCGATTCCTTCTGTGGGTGCGTTTACTAAACGGCGTCGCGTGTCGGGGCGATTCTTTTGAGGGTGGATTGTCTGCCCTCTATGTTCGCCGCTCGTGAAAGCGGGGTAAACCAGTCCTCATAGGTGCACGGTATAGCCCTCGCGTTCCTTCGGCAGTGAGGGGGACAGGGTGCGGCCTCTGCTAGCGTGATCTCGAGCATCGAGAAGCACCGAGGCTCGTGGGGATCGAGGATCGAGGAGGATCGAGGATCGAGGAGGTTCGAGGATCGAGGAGGATCGAGGATCGAGGAGGACCGAAGACAGAGGATCGAGGAGGTCCCCCCGCCCTCCCAGCTCCGCTCCAGCTGAACGGCGGCTCCGGCACGCACGCGGACGCGCCCGCGCACTTTATTCCGGCTGGCCTGGCGGCGGCCCGACGATCATCTTGGCCAGTCTTGGCTGCGGCCGCTTCTCGGCAGCGAGCGAGGGGGGAGGGGGAAGTCCAGCAGATATGATCCGAGGACCCATCGGCGGCGCGCCGAGGAGAGAAGTGACAAGGAGGAGACCTTCACAGCAGGCGGCGGGGCTTCTCAGAAGCCCTCGCGCCCTCTGAGAGGTGTTCTGCCTGCGCCTTCGAAGAATGCTTCAGAACACTTTACAGAGGCTTCTGAAAGGGCCTTCTCCTTCTCACTTCCTCTCCCCGCTCGCTGCCGAGAGGGGGGAGGGAGGGGCGCCATGGCCCGAGGCATGTGCGCGGACGAGGGGGGGGGGGGAAAGGGGGCGGGTGGAAAGTGGAGGAAGGCGAGGCCTATCTTCTCTCGCAATTCTCCCAAGGGTACCACTGCGTCCTTACATCCTCGGTCCATCCTTGGCCACTTTCGCTGCCCGCGCCCCGCTCGCGAAGTGTTGACGTGGGTTCCCAAGGCCCTTGCATCCTTATCGTGCGTCCCTATCATGCGGGTTGACTGAACGGTCCAGGGATTCGAATGACAAGAATTGGCATCAACTGATTTCTCGGACTTCCGCGCGGATTTCTTGGATCGGCGCTGGGCCCCCGGAGCCGGCGACCAGGCGCATACGTCGTCATTTTACATTTTTTTTGACACTGCAATGTTGACGTGCGCGGCTTTTCCAGGGATATATTTCAAGAGTTCCAGAGAGCGCTGTGAAACGCTCTCGAGATCGTTCTCCAGGACGGCGCACCGCCACGGCGCCCGGCACACGTCGTCCAGGGACGCTGGCTCGCAGGGATGGCCAGTCTGGCCCAGCTCGCTCCTGTCCTTGTCCCGCCCTCGTGTTCCATATTAAGATTCAGAAGAGGAAAAGGTACCCATACCCCTCCCCCTCCATCGTTTTTCCCATACTCTCTCCCTTTTTGGGCCTCCTGGGAGGGATTCGCATTGAAATTCTGGTCAGAACGCTCCCCAGGAGAGGTCTGGGGAGTAGCGATATATCGGTATTTGGTTGTCCCCAAAGGTTGTAGATTACGGAAGTTCCCGCTCGTCTTGGATTGATGTATATCGGCGGATACGCCCAACAACGCTCAATAGCGCCGAATAGCGCAATATGGGGGTTCACATGGCTTTCAGATAGCGCCCACTAGTGACCAACAACGCCATTTATGGGAGATGCAGAGTGCTCGCTTCGCGCGCGATTCTGCGCGCTATACAGAGTCGACCGCCGATCCTCGAACGCCGATCCTCGATCCTCGATTTTCGATCGTCCATCCTCGACCCTCGAACGTCGATCTTCGAACGTCGATCCTTGATTCCCTAAACGTCGATCCTCGTTCCTCGAGAGTCGATCCACGTGTTGCTCGAACGTCGATCCTAGTTCCCTCGAGCGTCGATCCTCGATTCCTCGGAGGCCGATCCTCGATTCCTCCTGCCTCGGGGCCTCCCCCTCGTCCTCCCAGGAAGGGCGCGAGGGCGAAGAGCCGGGGCCATTCTCGCCCCCATCACTGGACCTCTCCTGCGCTCCCCCGAGGCAGGAGAGCGGGGAGCCCTCGCTCGGGCAGCGATGCAGGAGACAGGCGGGGGGGGGGGTCCGGGGCAAAGGTTAGGTCGGGCATGCCCCTCCACAGGAGGAATGTCCAGAAACAGCCAACAACTAGTCAGGGGACGATATTTCGACTGTTCCTGGCTATTTGTGAGCACTCTTTTGTGATTTGTGATTTCTCGTCCAAGATCCGCCTGTAGGAGGACATGCCCGACCTGAGGCCAAGGCGTTCCCGATGCTCTTCGCCTCTTGCGCACTTCCTGGGCCACGCCGCGGCCCCAGGGCGGTCACGGAACGACCCAGGAGGGAAGAGGGGTCGCGGGGAAGGCCCCGGGGTCCAGGGCCCCACCTCCGGAGTTTGGTCTCCTGCAGATGCTTGGCCCTGGATCCCCTGTTGCTGCCGCTGCTGGTGCTGGCGCAGGAAGGAGGAGGGCTGCAGGAGGAGAAGAGGAGAAACGCGGTGATCATCGGCAGAACGAGACGAAGAGGTGGACGAGCAGACGGAGCAGGAGTGCGCTAACGCGCGGCCGTGGCCCCCCTGCGCGGGGCCCAGCGGATACCCGGTGGCCGCACCATAGACCAGCTCAGGCCGGAGGAGCTCGCAGGCGCCCGGGCGCATCCTCCATGCCCCCATGCCTGACGTCCGGCTTCCTCCATCCCCGCTTCTCCTGAGATCCGGGCGTTACAATTTTCTCACAACGGGCGTTGACGCCCAGTTTCGGGCTCCAGGATCCTCACAGATCGATCCTACTAGAAAGATGGCGCAGAAAGATGGGGTCTTCGCGCGGGGCTATAGGACGAGGACATGATATTCCGTTCCAGAGCGTTCCGGAACGCTTTCAGAGCGTTCTGGAACGATCTGAGACGGTCGCGGCGCCCGGCGCCCGAGACATCCTCCAGAGCCGCCGGATCTCAGAGATCTTCGATTTGTCCTCACCCGATTGCGAAGGCCTTACGTCCGGTACCGCCGACCCTGAATGGGAACGACAACGGCGGCGGCAGCGACGACGACGACGACGCTGACGTGTGTCAGAGTCCTAATGGATGCTTCTCGGGGTCTCTTCGAAGCGCTCTCGGGGGCCTCTGGGAGACAGTTTAGGGGCCTCTTGGGAGCATATTGGGGCCTCTTGGGAGCCGCTTGGGGGCCTCTCGGGGCTTGTTGGCGGCCTCTTGGTGGCCTCTTGGTTCCGCCTGGGACCCGGAGCCTGTCAGGGCCGAGGGCTCCAAATGTCTGTTCTGGTCCCTCGTCTGGGCAGCCTCTTGGAGCCGTCTTGGGGGCCTCTTCGGCCGTCTTGGAGGCGTCTTGGGCCGTCTTGGGGCCCTCTTGGCCTGTTTTGATTTCCTCCATGAACCCCTGGAACCCTCTTGGGCCGTCTTGGGGCGATCTGGGGCCTCTTGGGCAGTCCTGGAGCGTCGGGAAGCAGAAGAGGCGAGAACGCCGAAATGCTTCAAAAACCAACGGTGAATCAGTGATTTCTCCTCTCGGGGCCCTCTCGGGAGTGCTCCTGGAGGCCTCTTGGGGCGTCTTCTCTTGGGGGGATTCGGGGCATTCTTGGCCCGTCTTGGGGGATCAAAGGGAAGGTGCTCCCCTTTGAGTCAATTACGACGTTGTTCAATTTCGCGTTGGTTGGCGCGCTAGAGGAGGAAGGCCTAGGGAAGGGGGTGGGGGAGCAGCGACTGGCCCAGCGCTTGAGGAGGAGGGCTCAGGGAAGGTGGGGGGAGCGGCGACGGGCCCAGGGAAGGGGGGGGTGCAGGGAAAGGGGACGGCAGAGACGACGACTAACGAATGACGGAGACGGCGACTCGCACGGAGAGGGCCCCTCACACACGCCGGCATGGTCGGCAGCTTTTGCCCTCCTCCTGGCTTCAAAGATGGGGTCTGGGGCTCCAGCCGTGATCTTTGGCGGTGTTCCGATGTTTGCTCGCGACGTCGGATCCCGGGGTCGGCCCTCGGGAGGCCCCTCTCCCCGCCACGGCTGGAGCTCGGCCCTAGAAGCTGGCCAGCGTATCGCCCGCCCCGTAGTTTCTGGCGTCCTCCGATCGAGCGGGACGCGTCGTCCGAGGTCCGGGTCATAGGAGGAGCAGGTACCCGCACCGCCACCCATGCCTCGTTTTCGCCTTTTTGGGCCTCCTGTGAGGCCCTCGTCGCCACCGCTGGACTCGCCTCGAAATCCCGTTCAGAACGCAGTTGGAGAGGTCTGGGGAATAGCGGTGTCGGTATTTTTTGTCTCCCCAGAGGATCCCGAGTTTGGTGATTCTGAGGGCGATGGTTGCCTTCACAATTTCTCTGACGCCTTCAGGGCCACCCCAAGCCAAGCCAAGCCGCCTCCTCGCCTTTCGGCCCTCGGGGGCCGCTCTCGCAGCCACGGCTGGGGCTCGGCCTGGGCTGGAGGAATCGAGGATCGACGTTCGAGGAATCGAGGATCGGGGATCGACCCTGGAGGAATCGAGGGTCAACGACAGAGGGATCGAGGATCGGCGCTCGAAGGGCCCCCCTCGCCGCCGCGGCTGGGCGGCTGCGTGGCAGACCAGGGGCTCCGTGGCCCCATCGGATGCTGGTTGCGCTCGGCGGGCCCGTGTCCTCCCACGGCTTGCCGTGCGCACGGCATGCGTGCGCGCGGCAGGCGTGCGCTGGAAGGAAGGATCATTGGGCGTCGCGTAAAGGGGGGTGCGATCTCTGGGGGGGAGGGGCAGCGAGGGCTGCCGAAAAGGGGCCCTCTGGGGCACCCAGGGCACCCCAAGGGGGCCCTTCGAGGGCCCCAAAGGGGGCCCTAGGGCCCGAAAATGCACCTTTCTCCCCCCTTCCATTTATCGTCAACCGAAGAAAAACAACACATGGATCCGATAATCGGCGTTTTCTAGAATGGCCTTGGGCGTTTACTTAACATCCATGCCCTGTTCGATTTTTTTCTTGGGCGCGGTACCTCTTGCTAAACGGCTTGGTGTGTCGGGGTGATTCTTATGGGGCTGGAGTTTCCGCTCTGTAGATATACACATGCATATACATATGTGTGTATATATATATATATACACATGTATCCGTGAGGGCTTCGCCCCCTGCCGCCGGCCCCTTCTCTCGGATAAGAGGCAATGCAAGAGCGAAATCATGAGGCCTTGGCGCCGCCGTGAAGCAGCGTCGGGACTTCACGCGAAGACGATGAATACTCGGCAAGACGAATTGAGATTCTGATGATGTTGTTGAATACGGTGTTGCATTTCGAGGGTTTATGGCTTCGGATACGCGAATCGCGCGTACTTTACGAGGGTGTATGGCTTCGGGCTCGCAACTGTAGTGTAATTTACGCAGGTTTATGGCTTCGGAGACGCGAATCTGGTATAATTTACGAGGGTGTATGGCTGCGGACACGCGATTATCGCATATTTTAAAAGGGTTTATGGCTTCGGGGTCGCAAGTATGACATCATTTATTCAGGATTTTGGTTTCGGAGGCGCGAATCTTGTGTACTTTACGACGGTTTATGGTTTCGGGGGCTCGAATATTGTGTGATTTGCGAGCGTTTGTGTCTTCGGGGACGCCACTATTGCGTAATTCACTGGGGTCAATGGCCTCGGGGACGCGACTCTTGTGTAATTTACGAGGGTTTACGGCTTCGGGGGCGCGAATTGTATTGTTTTTCACGTATCCCACGCCCCCCCCAGGAATTCAGAGCATGACAACGCGTGTGTTATATTTGGCTGTCCGCCACCCCCTTTCCCCCTCCCCCGTGGTTGGTTCAACATCCTGTTAGGGGGGTGCAGCCCGAGCTCGTCAACCATTCCCTTGGGGCTCTTGGAGCCCCCGACGAGCCCCAAGACGGCCCAAGAGGTCCCAAACAGAGCGCCAAGAAAGCCCCAGAGAGAATCGAGCCAGCCCAGGGTGGCCCCAGGACGGTCTGAGTACGATGACTGACGGCACCTCTCCTTCTCTTTCTTCTGAAGTGCTGGGCCCGCCACGTTCCATGGCCCAATTTGGTGTGTCCATCCGAGTGGCAGCAGGGAGCCAAAGAGACGAACTAAGCAGCCGTCTCGTCCCGCTGACTCTCTCTCCCTCTCTTCTCTCTCTCTCTCTCTCTCTCCCTCTCTCTATCTTTTGTTGTTCTCTCTCCCTCTCTCTCTCTCTTTCTCTCCCCTATTCCTTCTCGCCTCTTCCCGCCTCGCCTCGCCCCCCCTCGGCCGAGCCGCCCCGCCACCCCGCCGGCGCCCGAGGCGTGCCCCTGGCGATCGTGGACGTGGCCGCCGCGTGCGCGGCGGACCACGACCACGCGGTGGCCGTGGCCGAGCTCGAGGCCGACGAGGAGCGGCGGCGGCGGCGGCGGCGGCTCCTCGTCGGCCAGAGGCTTCGCAAAAGCAGGGCCGAGGAACTCGCCCGCAGGCGCTCGCGGCTCGTTTTCGACTAGCGTCGCGATGGTTCTCACCCTCCCTCCACCTCTCCTCCCCCCCCTCCCCCCCTCCCTCCCCTCCAGCTGCCGCCCCGGTTCGAGAGGTTTGGGCGCCGTACCAGGTACGGCGACCTCTCCCGGAGGTGGCAGCCACGCGCGCTGGCCCGCGCCCCAGTCCCGCGCGATCCGGGCTTGGGCGGCCTGCGGCTGGCCGCGCCCGCTCGCGCAGCTCCCCGCCTGGCCCGCCTGATGGGCCCGCTGGCGGCGCCGAGCCCGCCAGGCTCGGGCGCGCCGAGCCCGCGTGGCATCGCCGAGCGCGCCTGCGACGCGCACAGTCGCGCACGCTGTTGCGCGTCGCGGCCGCGGCACGCCTCCTTGCCGCCCACCACAGCGCAATGGGCAAGGGAGGCAGCGGCAAGGGCCGCACAGGCGCGACGGGCGGCAGCGCCCCGCAGGGAGGTCGGGCTCCGCCTCCGTGGCAGGGTGCGCCACCGCCCCCACCGCCAGGCTGGTGGTGCGAGGACTGCGGCGGCTTCAATGGGCCGCAGGAGAGGCTCTGCCGAGGCTGCTACCCTGGCCCTACGGGCCCAGTCGGAGGCGGGCTTGGCGGTCCACCGCAGCAGCGCCAGCAACAGCAGCAGGAACAGCACCCTGGGCAGCGAGGCTCGGCATCTCCTGGGACGGCAGGCCGCCGTCGCTCCGCTTCCCGTCGCCGCAGACGCGAGAGGCGTGAGGAGCGGCTGCGGTCAGGCTCTCGCGTGCGCTTCGCGGACGAGCCCGAGCCCGACCTCGACGGCCACGGCGTCTCGGACGCCGACGAGGAGGTGCGCAGCCCAGCGCTCGGGATCCTGCCCGCGCTGCCGCAGGAGGCGAGGCAGCACCCCGCCTGGGTCGACCCGCCCAGCGACGAGCGCGCCCTGGCGGCGCACAGGAAGTCGCTCCGTCAGATCGCAGCTGCGACAGGGAAGCGACTTCAGGTTTTCATCGCTCTCGGAGTCTCCGATGAGCTCTTGACGGCCCAGAAGCTAGAGTATGGCGTCCAGCTGTGCGTGACTATCACGGCCCGAGCGCCTGATGAGCGCTGCGACCGCCAGCGGGCCCATGTGGCCAAGGCCCTAGGGAAGCTCGAGCGCGCCCGCGAGGCGGTCGACAAGGCCCAGGCGCGCCTGCAGGAGGCTGACGCGAAGTGCACGCAGCGCGAGCAGGAGCATGATCGGGCCAAGCTGCTGCTGGACCAGCTGGAGGCGATGCAGCCCCCTCCTGCAGCTGTTGGCGCCGCCGAGGACGTGGACATGGGCGCGGAGGGCACGAGGGCGCCAGAGGCTGGCGGTGCTGCCCCTGGAACGCCTCAGAGCGCTCCCGTGCAGCTGGCGGCCATCGCGGAGCTCCAGAGCGGCCAGGCGACGCTCACGGCCCAGCGCAGCAGCTTGATTGCCATGCTGACGACGCTGCAGACGGCGATGGCTGCGGCAAGGACCCCAGCGGCTGCCGCCGAGGTCCCCGTCCCGCCTGAAGGCGGCGCCCCGCAGGTCAGGCCCTTCGCTGGCCAGCCGCAGCGCCTGGGCCGCCCGCCGACGGCGGAGGAGCTTGCAGCCGCCGCGCCTGCCGCCGCGGCCGCGGTAGCGAGCCCGGTGGAGGGGGCAGCTGATCCTGCAGCTGCCGCTGGCCCCGCTCCGCCTGCGCCAGCTGCTGCTGACGGCGCGCCTGCGGCGCCCGCAGGGACCGACGGCGAGGGTCTCGCTGCTGTGCGCGCTCGCGCCGCCACGGCGCGCCGTGCCAAGCGCGAGCAGGAGCGCGCGAGGCGCCCGCCAGGCCAGCCGCTGCTCGTGGATGCCATGGCCAGGCAGCAGCAGCTCGGCGGACATCGCGGCCGTGGCAGCGTGCCGGCCCCAGCTGGACGCGCCGACGTCGCGGCGGAGTTTGGCGACCGCGAGACGGAGGCGGCTGCAAGGCGGACGCGGCGCAGCCGCGATCGCAGTCCCCGCAGGCCCGACGGCTTCGAGATGGTTGGCGGCGCTGGTGCCGAATCGACTGGAGAGTCGACGCTGGGGCGATGCTTCTGGACAGGCGATCTGCCGGGGGTGAGATGCCTGCGCCATCTCATAGCTCGCCTGTGGCTGCCAGCGCAGCCGATGTCGCGTCAGAGCCCCTCGATCGGATGGAGTCCGATCCGTCTCTCCCCCCTCGCTCCAGGCCGCTTGCCCCATTCCCAATTGTGAGTCGATCGTAAGAGGCCTGCTTCAGCCTTGGCCCTGCGCTCACACTCTCACACCCGTTTTCTACGGGCCTCAGCAGCTGCCCTACTCCTGCTTCTTCTCCTCTTACCTGCATAGTAGCACGCGTTCTTTTTTTGAATCCCACGGAGGTGCCCTTCCCCCCCCCCCGAGGAGGAGGTTATCAGGTATGAGGTGCATGCGGGCGGCCCCTGTGGATCTCGGGGGCAAGTACTGGGTGGACCACCGTCATGGGCTTGGTGTATGTACTCAGTTACTGGCACACAACAGTATACATGTGAAGGTTGTATATGTGGTGTTGACCCCTCTCTCCTCGATCTGCCAAGTGCTTCGGGTGCTGCTGAATTTCAAGCTGCCCTATGGCTAGTGCTATGGATGTTGCAGGCTCCTAGCAGATTCAGGTCCAGGCCCCTGGAAGTCTTCACCGACGACATTCTTGTGGTCAGGTCGGCCAAAGGAGGAACGCACTACACATCTTGTGGGGACTATCCTGGGATGTTCGATGGGGCGCTGAAGCTCCCCCCCTGTTTTACCACGGTGCGTTGGGAACACGTCTTGGGACACAATGCCGACCCTCGGAATTCGGAGGAGTGTATATATACACCAATCCATTCCCCGGGTGTAGAATTTATAGCAGTTTTTTTTCGGTGCCGCTTGTTTTCCATTGCTTTTTCGTTTACATGTGCTTCATTTTCCCTCTGCTGCACCGCGCGTCTTCCCCCTCATTTACCCACCTCCCCCCGCCCCCCTCCGCTCGCAGCCGCGTCCGCTGCGTTGCCTGCTGCATGCTGCTGGTGGACCGTCGTTACCATCCGCTGCCGTTGCTGCGAACGTCGTGATCAGTTCGGTAATCCCCTCGCACGGATCGTGCCCCATATGAAGCCTCATCGACCATCCTGGCAGGGGCGCACTTAAAGTGTCTCCGCGCTCATTTCGGCACGCCCCCCAGCGCGGACTGCAGCCCGCAATGGGCTCCACCCGCAGGCTCAAGGGGGGCGCCCCCAAAGCTTATCCGCAACCACTGCGGCACGCCTTTCCCGCGGCTCGCGCCACTGATGGAATTTCGCCTGCGGCCGTCGCGGGGGCGCTCCAAGTGCGCCTCCATGCCCGCGTCGGCACGCCCCTCGCGAAGATCGCGCCCATGCAGTTGTGGCCCCATTTGGAATTCCCATGGCGTCTCCGCTCCCGTTTTTGGCACGCCTTTTCAAGCGGATGGCGCCCCGCAAGGAGCGCCGCGTACAAGCCCAGTAAGGGCAGTCATATTTGCGCATGGCGTAATCGTGCAAATGTCTGCTTGCGTTTGAACAGATCGTGCTCCGCATGGCGGCTCCGCGCACGGCCCTGGCGCGGAGGCCCCCCCCCCGGCTATGTCGTCGCACCTTTCAATCAGGTTGTGCTCCCTGTGGAGCTTCACCTGCAGTCCCAGCGGGGGCGTCCGCATGCGGTCGCCCACTTTCCATGGCCACGGGGGACTATGCAAAATCCGGAAACTATAGGAGAAAAATCCAAGGCCCGATTGGTGTATAAAATTTCGGGACGACGAAAATTCTGGAATGTATCAGGCAGAACGGCCCGCCGAAATTTTATACACCGATCAGGCCATAGGAATTCGCCCTATGAGCCTCCCAGAATTTCTGTGGCCCCGGTGACCCGGGGCTTCGCTCCCAGCCACCGATAGAACCGGCCACAGGCAGGCCGTGGCAGGCGGTGGTGCCCCATTTGTGTAGGATTGGAAACCACATCACAATACCTTGACGCTCCGTTTTCGTTTTTTAGGGGGTTAGAGGGGACGGAGAGGGCGGCAGGGATACGGGGCCTGGATGGAGCGATTGGGGGGGGGGATCGGGGCAGAGACGGGTGGGGAGTGAGAGGGAAAGGGAGGGGCTGGCGGGCGCAGGGAACGGGAGTGGGAGCGGGGAGTTCCGAGCGAAAGGCATGGGAGCGGGGAGGGGGATGGGTGAACGGACAGTGGGGGGTGGAGGAACGCAGGGGGGGGGAGGGAAGGAGTCTGTGAACGGAGACGGAGGCTGGAGGCGAGGTCGTGGCGGGGTCAATGGGGGGGCGATGGCGAGTTGGGAAGGGAGGGAGGGTGATCGTGGGGACGCGGGCCCGTCGCCCATATTTGGCTCAAACCCCCTTGGCGGCATCATTTCCAATCGGGCCAGAGTTTGTACTCCCCCCCTCCCCAATGTGGTGGATGGGTTGGGGTGCTGGCGAGCAGGCCCGCGCGCGTTCCCCGGCCAGCGCGCGGCCCTGTTTAAATTTTCTCGCGTGCCCGGCTACGGGCACGCATTCATGGCCTCGAAACGAGGCACCCCTCGCCTAGAGACGGCATCACCACCATGGGCGGCGGTTTTCCGCCATGGGTGCCGGGGCCGCTGCGGCCTTGCCCGCCCCTGGACAAACGCGCCCAGGCGGGGCGCATGGCGCTTGCTCCCTCTATCGGCCACTGCGCCAAAACCGCTTTGGCCCAACACTCAACAAAAATCGGCCCGAACAGGTCGGTGTATATACACACGCCTCCCAGGAATGAGCTTGCAGATGCCATTGCACGATTAGCCTACATGGGCTTGGCTCCGACTGTGCCCGACGACTTTCAACCGTGGTCTGCGCTAGGCGCCGCCGCCGCTGCTGCTGTGCCCTGGCTGTGGATGTCAGTTATCTCCAACGCCAGCGACGGTC